TGGATTGGAGGAATCAATATCATTTAAATGTCCATACTACCAAAAGCAATCTACAGTTTCTCTGCAATCCCTATCAAAATTCTGACTATTTTTCACAGAACTAGATTATTTCTATATTACTAAAATTTACACAGAACCATAAAAGACCTAAAATAATTAAAGTAATCTTGAGAAAGAACAACAAAGCCATAAGTATCATGTGCCCTGATTTCAAACTATACTACAAAGCTATAGTAATCAAAACAGTATGATATTGGCATAAGACACACATAGGTCAGTGAAAGAGAGTAGAGAGCCCAGAAAACCCATGCACATATGGTCAATGTATGATAGAGGAAGCAAGAGTATACAGTGGGGAAGGACAGTCTGCAATAAATGATGTTGGGAAAACTGGACAGCTACATGCAAAAGAATGAAATTGGATCGATGTCTTATGCCATACACAAAAATTAATTCAAAATGGAATAAAGACATGAATGTAAAACCTGAGACCATAAAACATCTAGAAGAAAATATAGATGGTAAGCTCCTTGATATAAGTCTTAATGATGTTTTTTTTTTTTTGGAGCTGATTCCAAAGGCAAAGGCAACAAAGTGAAAAACTGCAGAAGGGATGTTGTGTTAGCAGGTGTTAAAATGACATTAATCTCCATCAGGGCTCTTGGGTGACCAAGTGCCCTCCCCATGAGCAGAAATATTTTGAAAGGAATTATTTCCTGAGTACTAGGTTTCAATAGTGGGCTTAAAATATTCAGTAAACCATCTTGTAAACAGGCTTCATTGTTCTATGTATAGAGCACAGACAGAGTAGATTTAGCATAATTCTTAAGGGCCTTTGGATTTTCAGAATGGTGAATGACCATTGGTTTCAACTTTGAATAATCAGATGTGTTAGCCTCTAACAAGAAAGTCAACCTGTCCTTGAAGGTTTGAAGCCACACATTGACTTCTCTCTAGCTGTAAGAGTCCTAAATGGCATCTTCTTCCAATAGAAGGTTTTTTCTACATTGAAATGTTGCTCAGTGTATCGACTTTCATTAATTATCTCAGCTAAATCTTCTGGATAATTTGCTGCAGCTTCTACATCAGCACCTGCTGCTTCATCTTGTACTTTGTTATAGAGACAGCTTCTTTTCTTAAACCTCATAAACTAATCTCTGCTAACTTAATTTTTCTTCTGAAGCTTTCTCACCTCTTCTAGCCTTCATCAGATTGAAGAGAGGTAGGCCTTGCTCTGAACTAGCCTTTGGTTTAAGAGAAAGTTGTGGTTGGTTTGATCTTCTATCCATTCCTCTAAAACTTTCTCCATATCAGTAACAAGTTTATTTTGCTTCCTTACCATTTCTGTGTTCACTAGAGTAGTGCTTTGCTTTTCCTTCAGGAACTTTTGCTTTGCATTCATAACCTGGTTAACTTATTGGTGCAGAAGGGCTGGCTTTCCCCTGTCTCAGCTTTCAACACACCTTCCTCGCCAAGTTCAGTCAATTCTAGCATTTGATCTAAAGTGAGGACATGGGACTCTTCTGTCGCTTGAACACTTAGAGGCCAATTAATTGGCCTAATTCAGTGTTATTGTGTGTGAAGGAATAGGAAGGCCTGAGGAGAGGGAGAGAGACTGGGGAACTGCTGGTTGGCAGAGCAGTCAGAACACACACCACATTTTTATCAAGTTTCACTGCCTTTTATGGGTGCTGTATGTGGCACCCAAAACAATTACAACATTAATGATCCCTGAGAACAAATATAAAAATGAGAAAGTTTGAAATATTGAACAGTTATCCAACTGTGACACAGAGACATGAAATGAGCAAATGTAGGAGAAATGGTGCTGACAGACTTGCTTGAGGCAGGGTCGACATAAACCTTCAATTTATAAAAAATACACTATTTACAAACTGTAATAAAGTGAAGCATAATAAAATGAGTTATGTCTGCACAATGATTTCATACTAAAGTATCTTTTTGTTATCACTGAAAATTGGCCTTGAAATATGAATCTCTTAAAAATGGTGAGCCAATAAATGTATAAGAGAAAAGAATATATTTTTATAGTTTTTATAGGAATGTTGCAACTAAGTTCATTATGTGTCTGTGAGAATTGTAATGACTTAGGTTTACTTTTTGCTCTTTATTCTGTTGATGGCTTGTGAGAAAGTGATACAGTTTAGTATTTACTTTACATAAGGATGAATGAAACATGTTTTAGGGAATTTTCTAGTATTCCTAAGCTTTACTAATTTTATTCCATATCTGATTTATGAATACAAGTGTTTTTCCTTTCAGAATTCATAAATCATTTGCTGCTTGGAAATTGAATGTTAAAAGAATTAAGACAGAGAAGAGCAGGTAAGTCTTCATATGCAATATATTTATAAAAATTTCAAGAGGAAGCCTTATTTTAAATATTTAGTATGGAAGCAGATACAAATTAATTTTCACTCAGTGATTTGAAAGTCACATTCCATAGCCTTTATGATTAAATGTAACCCATCTTATATTTTAAAACATGACTAATATTATATATATATATTAAAACATAATATTATATGTTACTATTTATTTATAAAAATGATAAACAATTGTTCTATTTCCCAGTTTATCATGTTGTGGTGTGAAAGAATTACAATGTTGTGAAGAACCTATGATGGGTTCCCTTGGTCACTTGATCTCACCTTTCGCTTACAAAAAGTATAGGATGATTAAGTCATCCAAGATAGAAGACAGTTAATTCTATTTTGTGGGACCTCCAGCAGCCACATTTTGTTGTTTTTAATCTTTTTACTTTGAGCTGATTGTAATTGAAGTGGAGCTGTGAGAAATTGATAGAGATCCATGTACACTTTATACAGTTTCCTGCCAGTGACGTTTATAGAGCAACACAGAACATATCTGTCAGCAAGGGATCCCTCCCTCCTGTTGTCCTTTTATAACCATACTCACTTCCCTCACACTCCCACCCATTGTTAACCTGTGGAAAGCACTAATCTGTTTTCCATTTCTATAATTTTATTTTTTCAAGAATGTCATATAAATGGAATCATACAGTATATGACCCTTGGGATTGACTTTTTCACTTAACATAACTCTGGACATTTATCCACATTGTTGCACATATCGGTAGTTCCTTTTTATTGCTGAATAGCAGTACATGATATGAATGTACTACAGTTTTTTAAACCATATACCTGTTGAAGTATGCCTGGGTGTTTTCCAGCTTTTGTTTATTACAGATAAAGCTGCTACAAACACACATATACAGGTTTTTGTGTGAATGTAGGTTTTGATTTTTCTGGAGTAAATGCCCAGGAGTGTAATTGCATGTTTGGTTTTTTAAGAAGCTACAAAAGTGTTCTGGAGTGATAGTACCATTTTTTTTTCCCATGAGCAATGTATGAGTGATTCAGTTTCTCCACATTTGTGCCAATATTTGGAGTTGTTACTATTTGTATTGTAGACATTGGTACTTATGTGGTGATATCTTATTGTAGTCTTAACTTGCATTTCCACAGTGATGAATAATGTTGAATGAATATTCATGTGATGTCTCTTCGTGTCTCATGTACATTTTCTAATCAGATTGTTCATCTTTACACTGTTGAGTTTTAAGAGTTCTTATATTCTATATGTGAGTTCTTTGTCAGATACATTGTTCATTAATATTTTCTCCCAGTCTTTGGCTTGTCCTTTTTATTTTTTTAACCCAAGAATACTTATTTAGCATCTACTACATGCCAGGCGTTAAGCTAGTAGGTCACTTGCTCCTTGAAAATAGAAAGTAACTTGGTGGCTTCACTGCTTTACTGCTGTGGGTGGGCTTTATTGTGGAGGTCCAGGCTTTCACCCAACATCTCCCCCTTGTTAAACTTATGTCCTTTGGTGCAAGCATAGCTGGAGCAAGGGGTGGGGATGAGGTGTTGGAAGAAAGGCAAATTGTTGCTGGCCATTTGTTGCTTGTAGACGGCATATAGTTAAGTCATGTTTTAAAAAATCCCTCTATCAATCTCTGTCCTTTAATTGGTGTATTTAAACTATTTACATTTAATCTATTTATATGTTAGGGCTTAAGTTTACTATTTTGTATAGTCTACTGGTGTCATTTTATTAGTTTGAGTGACTGTAGAAACATTACCTTTATGACCTGTTATAATATAATTGGCTTAAGTGTTTCCTCTACATACATTTGGTCCTATATCAGACAGTTTTTCTTTGCTTCCATCATCAAACATAATTTATAAAGTTCAAGAGAAGGATAGTCTATACATTTTTTAAATGTATTCAGTTTGGTTTATATTATTGCTTCATTTTTGATGTTTTGGTGTTCACTCCTTTTACTGTTTCATTCATTTTCTGTTTAGAGAATTTCATTTAGCCATTCATTTAGGGTAGCTCTGTTGGCAACAAATTCTCATGGTTTTCCTTTATCTAGGAACATCTTGATTTTCCCTTCAGTGAAGAATATTTTCCCGGGATATGGGATTCTGAGTTGACAGTTCTTTCAGCATTTGAAAAACGTGCATCACTTTCTTCCTGCCTCCATGGTCATTTGGATTGTTTTTCTCCTAAAGATATATTTCCTCTTACAAGAGTTTTTCTTTTGTGTTTAGCTTTCTGAAATTTGACTTTGATGCATCAGAGTTCCACACAAACAGTTCCATCATCCCCCAAATTTCCTTTTGCTGCCCCTTTCTGGTCAAATCCTCTGTCCCCCCTTATCCCTCCCAACCAGTGGTCTCTTTTCTGTCCTTAGAATTTTACCTTTTCCATAATGTCATGTAAATGGATGTGTAGCCTTTTGGGCCCAGCTTCTCTCACTTAGAAAAATGTGTTTAAAACTCAACAATATTGTTGTTTAAATCAGTAGTTTATAACTTTTTATTGCTGAGTTGGATTCAGTTGTCTATATGTAACACAGTTTGTTTACCCATTCACATCTGGGGTTGTTTCCAATTTGGGACAATTATGAATAAAATTGCTATAAACATTCATTTAGAGGTTTTTGGATGAGCGTAAGTTTTCTTTCTGCTTAGGTAAATACACAGAGGTGGGGTTGCTGGATCATATTGTAAGTGTATATTTAATTTTATGAGAATTGCAGAATGATTGAATCATTTGTTCCTACTAACAATGTCTGAGTTCCAGCCACTCTGCATCTTTGTCATCACTTGGTATTGCCAGGTTTTTAAAAAATTTAGCCATTCAAATAGGTGTGTGGTGAGATCTCATTGTGGTTTTAATTTCATTTCACTAATGATAAGTGATTTGTTCATCTTTTCATGAGCTTATTATACACATATGCTTATTTATATTGTTTTTGGTCAAATATCTCTTTAGATCTTTTGCCGGCCTTTTTTTACTGGGGTGTTTACTTACTGATAGGTTGTGAGGGGTCTTTGTATATACTCTGGAATACAAGTCATTATCAAATACAAGATTCACAAACATTTTGTTCCAATCTGTACCTTATTATTTCACTCTTTTAAAGAGAACTAAATTTTTAATTTTGATAAAGTACAGCTTATCAATTTTTTTCTTTTGTGGATTATACTTTTGGTTTTATATCTAAAAATGTTAACACAGAGTCACAGATTTTTCCTAAATTTTCTCCTAGAAAATTTATAAACTCGTGTTTTATATTTAAGGATGTGATTCATTGAGTTAATTTTTGTATAATGTATGAAGTATAGGTTGAAGTTCTTTCAGTGGGACTTCTGAAAATACTAACTTTTGAATTATATATTTTATCCAAAATTATCCCTCTTTGCCAAGATCCCCACCTGACTATCTTTACTAATTTGATCTTAATTATGGGTTTACCTAATAAGACAGAAAGTGTAATAGACTACAGGAAGCACACCAGATGGCCAGATTGTCAGGTCCTCTTTGAAATGGATCCTGCCTACCAAAGTAAAGTAAGTTTAGAACAGTTTGTCTCAGGGAATATTTGGTTTAACGAACAGAACCCCACTGAAATTCCTAAATAAAATGAATTTATTGGAAAACTAGTGTATCATTTTTTATGGCAATTGGAAAACCATTTGCAACTTGTCTTTACATATATTTCCTTCATAAACTTCCATCTGTATTCACCTCTGTATGTTTTTTCTGACTTACCCTATGAAAGTGACCTTTCTCTTTTACAGTTCTCTCATAATATTGATGTGCCAGTATGTTGATCTGCCATGGCCCTGACTTTCCCTGTTACTGACTAACAGGATACTTTTGTTCAAATTCACAAGGGAATCTAATTGTCTTAGCTTGGGTCAGGATTCCACCCTATCCAAATGTCTTGGAAGTTGGGTAGGGTCACACAGTATATAGAACTGACATTTTTAGGGCTATGCATGAGCCATATACACTCAACACAGGGTGACAAGCAAAGGACTAAGTGATTGGTGTCTCTAGTGGCTCAAAATAATAGGTAGTGATAAAGTTAAATAATCTAGTAAGTCTTTACATCAAAGCCAAATATAAAAAGACCATCTAAATTTCCTAGTCTTATGTTTCTAACATATTTAGTTACTTATTAGAGGTTCTTAACAAAATAAGCTCCATGTAAAACTATTACTTCAAGTATTTTAACAGAGTTATTAGCATATTTGACTACAATTTTTTCACTTTTAAAATAAGATTCTAACTTTTTTACATTTTTATTTACAGATTGTGAGTCTCTTGACTATTATTGGTGACTCAATGGGCCTAGTTACTGTTTACAGCTCCAACTTTATAAAATATTATGCCACGGTAGAGAAGGCCAAAATCATGAGTATGAAAATACTGTTGTCTATAGAAGAATTAACACCAGCACAGTTTAAAACTATAGTAGCTAAATTCAGAAGCTATCTTAGACATATTGTTAACATGGTCATTGAGAAACACATTGGCATTTTCAGTATTATAAATCTGGATTATCAGTCAAAATGTTTGCTGTATGTTGAGGACATAATACATATGAGCCACAACCTCTTGCAATCTGTAATTGAAAAAAAGAATGCAAATATATTAGAAGTAAGTATTTTAAAAAGTCTTATTGCATGAGAGTCTTTAAGATTCATAGATTATAATCTTAAAATCTGTGTTTAGGTAACATACATGATGAAGATTATCTTCAGGAAATTCCAGTGTGGATTACATTTGCTTGGGTCTTTGGTCAAATGTCATTTCCTCAAAGAAACCTCTGACCACCATGTGTAAAATTGCACCCCACCACTTTTTACATCCTTTCCTTGGGAATCACTGCAAGGGTTTGAAGCAGGGAAATGACATGATGTGGTTTGCATTCCTGTAAGGCCTACTCTGGTCACAGTGTGAAGAGTGGATTAAAGTGCCACAAGGGAGGAAAGCTGTTTCTGTGATCTAGGAGGTAAGTGATGATATCTTGAAGCAAAGTAGTAGCAATGTGAAGTCCGAGAGTATATGGAATAGAGATATATTTAAGAGATGGAATCAACAGAATCTAGTGACAGAACATAACGACTAAGTGAAAGGAATCAGTGATGCCATCAGGTTTGGGCTCAGGGTGGGCAGTGACACAGTTCACTGGGAGAGAGAGCATGCTTGTTAAATAGTGTACTATTCTTGTAGAGGTACCCAGATATACATGTCTGGATTTTGGGAAATATATGTATTTAATATAGATGGGAAATGTATTTTTAAATGACTTAGCATAGATGTGATCATTGAAATCATTAGAGTGAATAGGAATGCCATGTGATAAGAACAGAAAATAATGTACAACAGAAACCTGAAGAATATCAACATTTAGAGGATTTTTACAGAAAGAGGAGCCTACAAAATATACTAAGAAATAACAACTGAAGAGACTGAGGAGAGCCAGAGAGTATTTTTAGAAAAAGGGAACATTTAGTTGTTAAACTACAAAGAGTTTAAGAAAGGATTCAAAGTGTCTTTTAGATGAAAGGCACCATATGCTGTATGTAATGAAATATTCATTATTTTTAGACTTACACCAATCCTATAACTAGAAAATTACTCTGACTGGTCTAAAGCAAATGTCAAGTCTTACTGGACAGAAATAATGAGAATTCCCTTCTTTAGTCATAGAGTAAGTTCTCTGGTTAGTCAGTCTGTCAGCCTCTTTCCCATTCTTTGGGAAAATCTCCCTTTTCTTTTTCTTCTGTGACCCTTAGTTATGACCTGTAGGCTGATTTGCTGGGAAGCTGCTTCATTACCTCATTCACACTGGACTTTGGAGGGGTTGTGCTTGCTGCACTCTGCCCAGGGATAGCAGTGCCTTTCTGGTATGAGGCTGAATACCTGGGTGGGCCTTAGGAAATGTCGCTGAGATTAATCTCGCCCTTTCTTCTTAAACATACGATTTTTTTCTGTTTGCATCTGGTTAGTTCCATGCTCAAGTCTAGGCATGGTATTGAAGCAGGAGAAATTTTGACTTTCAGCTGCTGCCTCTGTGCTTTACATTTCCCTACCTCCCTTTAAGTATGCTCACTTACTTGATGCTATTTGAAACAGACTTGGGAAGAAAAGTTACACCCTTAATAGTCTTTTCCAGTAAGCTTTCTACCAATCCTGTGCCCCAAAGAGAACTCTTCAGTGAAGGTGCTTGATTAAAGGTAAGGACTGTAGTCTTAATTCCTGCTAAGCCTAGCATTTTGAGGCCACCACTTTAGATTACAGGAACAGTTAGCTGTTTCAGCTCTCCAAGCCTTTGAATTAAAGAATTCTAACCTCAAAAAAGGCACAGAAGATTTTCTTATCAGAGCTGTATTTCTTTCAGTCTCTGCCTAGCTTATTCTATCACAAGTTCATCTCTCATAGGATTTCACTGAAAGTAATAAAAAGATATGATACCAAGTCATTCCTACTATTTACCCTAATGCTACAGCTTTGGTTAACATATTATCCAAGTCTCAAGAAACAATAGGTGACATTATGATCAAATATTTTGCTATTTCTTAGCAAATACAGTATTCATTTATCTATTTGTCCAGCCTCCCAAATCTGTTAACTACTGCCCTAAGAAAGTGAGATTTTGAAAATGGTGTCATATCCCAATTATCTCCTCTTTCAAAATGAGATGTTGAGATAATATAACTCCCTACTCTACCCTCCCACCAGCTGCTAATCTTCATTGAGATAGCTTACTTAGCACTTTTAAGTTCTAGATCATCATAAATAGCAGTATGTCTCTTCTATTAAAATTATTTTCATGCAGCACTTACATTACATACCCCAAGAAAGGTCATCTTAAATCTATTTCAATTTAACCATTTGGAAATGGATCAGATTATAATATTTAGAAACACTGAGATGGTATAACACTGCCTAACTTCAACGCCTCTGATCCATCTGTGATGGAGAACAAAGGCCTAGACTTAATTTCCTGCTATAACTAGAAAACTGAACCAAATACATGAAAGAAATACAGATGCTGAATAACAGGCAGTACAGGACTGTGATCCTGGAGAGAATCAAATGAAAGAGGGCATTTGTGCCTGGAAGCAATTTTTAGACTACAGATATAGGGAAGGGCAGGACCAGAGTAGCCCCACTGATGGCTAAAACTCACAGGTCAGAGTCCTACAAAGAAGGGGAGTGGGTGGAGAGGGACAAAGTCTCATGATTCTTTACCAACAAGTAACAAGTTACCAACTAATGTCTGTGCATGGACATAGAATGAAAATCCGCAAATGTGGGCCAAAAACAACAAGGAGTTGTAAACAACAATTTTCAGAATTCACACAAGTTCCAATCAGCCAGAGTGGAGGGTCTCACTAATTATAGAGGGTATTCAGTGGAGACCCCAGGGCTCCACCTTAGTAATGGAGCTGATTTATCTATAAAAGGAAGGTCATTCTAAATCTGCTCTTCCAAAGATTAAAAATAGACCTCAAATGGATCAAACAGTTCTGCAAATAACTACCTCATAAAATGAAGGATGGTACTCTTTAAACCAAGACAGCAAAAATCAGACATAAAATATCTAGCATTAACAAGACCTGGCTTTAAATCAGAAATTCTAAATAGGCCAAGAAGCAGAAAAACTGACCCACAACTAGGAGAAGAAAGAAATGAGTGGTAACAGGCCTAAAAATGACAGAGAAAATGGGAATATCAGGAAGAGACATGAAAATAGCTTATATAATTATATACAAGTATTTAAATAAAACCATGAACATAATAAATAGATGGAAGAGATTAAGAGTCAAATAGAAATTAAAGAGATGAAAAATACAATGTCTTCAATGGGAATTTCACTTCATGAGATTAATAGATGCTATAGGAAAAAAAATCTAAATTTGAGCAAATAGCAATATAATCTATCGCAAAAATGTTCAAATAAGAAAAAAAGACTAAAAAGCAAAACCAAAACATAACCTTGGTGACCTGTGGAATAATACCAAGAGGTCTATCATATGTATAACTAGTTCCACAAGGAGAGGAAAGGGAGGACAGGAAAACCATCTAAGAAAATACTGGAATAATTTCCAAATTTGATGAAAACTATAAACCAATAGATTTGAGAAGCTCAGTGAAACCCAAATGTAGAAAGCAACACCAAAAATATCAAATTACTGAAAAACAGTGATAAAGAGAAAAATCTTAAAAGCAGCAAGAAAAGAAAAGGTATAGGCTAAGAAAAAGAAACAGAGTTAAGAAATAATACACTCATCAGGGAAAGTATGCAGGCAAGAAGATAATGGAATCACATATTTAAAGAGAAAAATCTTTGTAACATTTATGTATATATCTAATATGTAACAAGGGACTTGTGTCCAGAAAAATAAGGAACTTAACATATATCAAAGCAGCCAATACAAATAATAAATAACCCAGTTTAAAAAATGGGCAAAATATCTGAACAGACACTTCACAAAAGAAGATGGGCAGTAGGTACTAAATTTGCTAAACATCACAGTCATCAAGGAAAAGCATACAATGAGATCCCATCACACATCCTTTGAAGTGGCTAAAATAGAAAAAAACTGACAATAGCAAGCGCTGAAAAGGATGTGGAGGAACTAGAACTTTCATAAATTGCTGGTGGTAGAATGCCAAATGGTACAATCACTGGAAAACTGGCAATTTCTATTTTTTTAAATTTTTTATTTAGGTATTGTTGATATACACTCTTGTGAAGGTTTCATATGAAAAAACAATGTGGTTACTACATTTACCCATATTATCAAGTCCCCACCCATACTCCAATGCAGTCACTGTCCATCAATGTAGTAAGATGCCACAGATTCACTGTTTACCTTCT